CTGTTTTGAATGTTCTCTTTTTCATTTATTCTAATGTTAAGTGTTCAGAGTCCATTTACTATACTGACTTCAGATAAAGTAAATTATGTTCTATACTGGGCAAAATTTTTAAATTATCAGAAAGAAAAATGTCATATAAATATATTAAAATAACATATGTTATTAACATATCTTAATGGGTAACTAGAAAAGATTTACCCCCATCCAACCCAAAATGTCCCCAAACAAATGGGGAATATCGTAAGTAATATTGCAACAGAGGCATATAAAGGTACCTTCGATAAATAAATCAAACACAAAAGTAAGATGAACATTTCCGCAGTTTCCTAATAATGACTGACTTAATGATATCGGCAGACAGTCTGACTCTGTAAACGATTGGTTGACGTACGCAATGAATGTCAGAGTGACAGAGTGCTAGATCAGAACAGTTCTGATGAGATCAAACAAGTCAGCACTGTTAAGGTTCTAGTATACAGTTTGTTATCCTGGTTATGTACCTGTAAAGCTCTTCACTACACAAGAAAACAAAATACTGAAGTGAATGAAATTCAGTATTCATGTATATGCATCTCAAAATACCAAATATTGTCTAAATGCTGTATACTTTTTACAAGTTCTAAGAAACTGAGATGGATTGTTGCATTTGATCACTTAATAAGTGAGAAACGTGAATAGAAAAAAAAGCTTACTTTCAAAATAATTAAGAAGATAACATATTTGTTCCTTCGAAGAATGGAAATTTCATGTGAATTTATTGTCATTATGTTTAGTAAATTTTTTTCTTGACGGTTCGAACTTGAAAATTACAAATCATATGCATTGATTTTATTAATTTTATTCAAGTATGTTGAAACAAGAGTACATACATCTTAAGATAAATTTAAATAAAAACAACTTTGCACAAAATGAAAAATGTTTAGCATGTAAAAAAATCTCTTTAAAACTTAAAGTAGGCTCTGAATTGCAAAACAATTGGCTTAACGTGTGAGAACATACCTGTCAGGATTTGACATGAAAGTAGATGTAAGAATTTTCTGTGAAGGATGGTTCATGAAAATGAAAGTATACAAAACATTTTTGAATCATTTAATATTTCTTTCATATTTGAACTTTTAAGATCTCTTCAAATCTAGCTTTTTTGTAATGCCAATATCTAGTTTTACAATGTTGTTTGCAAAGTAATGTCAAATGTTCAAGAACCTCTGCTATAAGAAAAACACAGTGTTTTAAGTGGCAAGAAATAAGTGTAGGTGTAAATCTGAAGAATCAATGCAAATATTCTGTGAGGGTATGCCAGAAATGAACAGATTCCAGTTTCAATGATAGTTTTCTGCCTACGATGTATCCTGCATACGGGGATTATATCTCACAGTTGATTCGACACGCAAGAGCATGTTTTATGTATGAACAATTTCTAAAACGAGGTAAGTTATTGACAAACAAGTTGATGAAACAAGAATATCAACAGTCTCGTTTAAAGTCGTCATTTCGTAAGTTCTATGGTCGATACAATGACCTTGTCAGCAAATACAATAGCATCTATTAATTTAAAGAATAGATTCGCTTATTTTATGAGGAAAACTTAGTTTCTGCTATTTGAGTTGGGTTAGCTAGAAAATAATTAGATCGGGATCGGAGTATCTCAAATTCCTCCTCTTTGCCCTGGATCCCAAAACGAAAGGTAAATAAGAATTTTGTAGCAGACTGCCAGACAGAATTTTGAAAAATATACTTTCAATCAGAGTTTTTCTTAAATAATTACACTACATACATGTAAAATTTATGTAAAATACATAAAATATAATTGTAAGGTTAATTGCCCTTCGCGGTATACCCAGAACGGCCATAAGGTTATGCTTATTAATAGGTAATGTATATGCTTTCATGTTGTTTGCTGCTGCTTGTTGTAATTTGGGGTTACCCCTTACGCTTGGCGACCCCTTGCTTCTTTTAAAAATGCCACGACCAACAATCGCCAATATCATAATAAACGTGTTTAGAATCATGTTTATATTAATATTTTCCTCTATAGATATAAATAATTTATCATTGAGTCAAATGCATGCTGACTGACGTTTTTCGTACTAATTGTTAGGCCATTATTTACACACTGAATTGCCGACGGATTTTTCCGTTATTTCCTGATCATGACAAGGAGCACACGGCGGGTGTGACCGGTCGGCAGGGGATGCTCACTCCTCCATGGCACCTGATCCCGCCTCTGATGTTTTAGAGGTCCGTGTTAGCTCAGCTTCAAAATTTGTATTGCATTGTTTAATGGACTTTTGAGCTTGAATACTGTTCGTTATCTCCATATAGATTTTGCTAAGGTTGGTATTTTCCCTTTCAACATTTTTATATAAGTTAAATAATTCTCTTCTTCTTTTAAAAAAAGTTTTATTACTTACCCAGTACATGCCATTTTTTGCCCCGCCACGAATATGACCGGGGCATATAATGTTTATCATGTCCATCTTCTGTCTTTCAGTCACAAGTTTAATTCAGTTTCAAAAAACTATTCAAGATTTTTTTTATCAAACTTCATACGATGATACATACGAGAGCTATTCAAATGCAGCATCAGTGTTTTGATCTTGACTTTCCTTTGACCTTGACCTTAATTTCATTAAATTGGTGATTATCTTAATTTCAAAGAAACCTAATTTATATGTATTAAACTTGTATCCGTACACATATTGATGTGAGCTATTTTTTTTTAACCTTTACCTTCCCTTTGACTTTAACCTTACTTTTCTTAAATACATGTAAGTGTTAATCCTGTTCTATCTATGTTCAAGATATGTATCAAACCTAATATGCTGATACATTTTAGTGAGAAATAATCAACTAATCAACTTCCTCATTATTTTTATGACCTTGACCTTTCCTTTGACCTTGAATTCACCTTTCTTAAATTAGTGTTTATCTATGTTTCACAGAAACAATTCAATATATATATATATATATATATATATATATATATATATATATATATATATATATATATATATATATATATATATATGTATGTATTTATCAAATTTCATATGCTGATATTTATTGATGAGAACTATTCTACGGCATCAACGCTTTTTACCATTGATTTTTCTCATGAAACTGATCTCACTTTAATTGAATTAATGATTATCTCAGTTTCAAAGAAACTTAAGATATTTGTATCAAACCTTATATGCTTATACAATACGATATTATATCAAACAGTATATGCTTATACATATTGATGAGGGCTATTCATATACATGTACATCAAATTATTTGACCTTTACTTTCCTTTGACCTTGACTTTTCATAAAATAGTATTGAGCTCAGTTTCAAAAAAACTGTTCAAAATATTTTAATCAAACCTAATATTCTGATACATGAGAGCTATTCAACTGCATGAACATTTTTGATCTTGACCTTCCCTTTGAACTTGCTTCAAATTTGTTTTAGCTAAATTTCAAAGAATCTAATCAAGATATTTTTATCAATCTTTATAAGATTATACAACATTTTTGACCTTGACCTTTCCTTTTACCTTGACTTCAAATTTGTGTTTAGCGTGATTTCAGAGAAACTTTAAAGATATTTTTATCAAACTTCATATGCTGATACATATTTAGGAGAGGTATTCAACTTCCCCAACATTTTTTGACCTTGACCTTTCCCTTTACCTCACTTTCCTCAAATTTGTGTTGAGTTCAGTTTCAAAGAAACTATTCACTTGAGATCAGTTTTAAGATAAGTAAGCTTATGCACTAATACATTATTTGGTGAGAATTTATCAACTGTGTCCATTTTTTTTTTTTTTACTTAACCTTCTGAATGATCTTTGACTTTACTATTTATTGTGTGTAAAACTCAGTTTTAAAGAAACTCTTCAAAATATATTCATCAAATTTTACACACTAATACGTACAAATTTTTATGCTGCATTACTATTGTCTTATGGACATATTTCTAGTTAAACATGAATCAAGTCTGACATTGACATCAATACAGAATTATTTTCTTTCAAAAAGCATGGTGAAAAATTAGACTCTATAAAATTTATGAAATCATTTAATTTGACTTTTATTTTGATCACACCTCTAGAATATCCGTGTTTTCAGCCCTGTTCACTGATTTGTATTTTGGTAGGTTTTTTGAGATCGATAACTGTTTGTTGAATTCACCTTTTTCTTTTGATACACACGCTCTACCAGAAGTATTTAACATGCGTGTTAGTTATAGTAAAACAACCCCCCAGCGAATAGCAGAATATTTATTAAACCCGAAATTCTATTACCTCGTGTATATATATATATATATATATATATCAGGGCAAAATAATCCAACAAGCACAAATACTCATAAGAACTCCAAGAAACACCCACAAGGATTAGAATATATTCTGACCTTTCCTTGATTTCAATATATATATATCTATATCTATATCTATGTATATATATATATTCCTACTTTAAAAGTAAGGAGGTCATGTCCCTTTGGACAAGAGACAGGAAAAGAGACATAACTCTTATGATTTAACGCCAAGTCGGCAATATTTCAGCCATCTATCGGCGGTTAAAATTTACGTTCTGATTTGAAAGTTTTTGGGGCTCTCTGGCGGCCCTCAATGAGCATACTCTTTTTCGAAAACTAGAGAAACTATCTTTTGCGTGCCAAGGGGGTTGTAGTCCCTGACATGGGGCACCATTTAATGTCAACATTCAACATAGTGATATATCATATTTGCTGACAAAGTCATTGTATCGACCATGGAACTTGCTAAATGATGACTTTAAACGAGACTGTTGATATCCTTGTTTCATCAACTCGTTTGTCAATAGCTTGCCTCGTTTTAGAAATTGTTCGTAAGTAGAGCATGCTCTTGCGTATCGAATCAACTGGGAGATATAAACCCCATATGCAGGTAATAAGGGTATATTGCTACATAAGTATCTCGTAGCTCCTTCATAGCTCTGCAAAATCGATTTGAAATCAACAAAAACAAATAATTTTAAAGGGTTCAATGAAGCCCATATTTATTTAACAAAACGGTGTCCAAATATGGTAACCTTGGTTTTCCATTAATTATAATCTGACAAATTCATTTATCTTAAATCTATTGAAACTGCAATATTATTGACATCGGTAAATTATTTTAGCGCACTTTGCAGCATTTCCATCCTCCACACACGGCCGAGGATCGCCAATCTTCGTACTCGTATGATCGACATTGTGGTCTACACCAACCATCATGGAACCAGCCGCCACAATTATGACTACGACGATCTGGATAAAAAAGGTTTACATAGAACAGAAGCGTGTCGATTGTATTTTTCAAACAGGAAAATACAATTTTTATTTTTGCATAGATGCAAATTGTGTAAATATGGCTTTTTTTTTCACTTGATCCAAAATATTTCTAGCATAAAGGTCATTTTTTCTGGAAAAAATATTACTAGTTAATAGTCCCTTTTAGGAATAAGTGATATTGAAATCGTAATTTTTTTTTTTACCAATTTATCCCCAACCTTCTCGAGATGGCTGAGGACATTGCAAGATTTTTTTTTTTTTTGAAAAAATTCTAAAGATAGGTAACGTTAATGTACTTTGAAGACAACTTCCTATTTACTTATCACTCTGCTTCTTTATAAATACACATGTAATTAAAAAAATGTTTTCCTTTTCACATAATCAAACATACTTATCACTCTACATGCACGTACATGAGCGTCCAAATTTGATAGTTTAAATTTTAATAATTAATAAATACAACTGTAATAAAAGAACAAACTAAAAACATTTTTCTTGTTCAAATGTACTTATAACCCTACAAACACGTACACGAAACATGCGAGTCATAAACCATAAACAAAATTTAGCATATGATTGGGTTCTTTGTTATGATATTGCACTGTGGACTGACTAATGTAATCCTCATCAGATATTTACATCTCTCTCTCTCTCTCTCAATTCAAACGATTTGATTTCATTATTCCGTTGTTCTTGTAGAAAGATGTATGTATTTGCAAAATTAAGGTGATAAATGCTAAGCATTTACCAAGTATGACAGTTTCCTGACGAATATAAAATGAAATTGACAGAATTCAAACGTTTGCACTAACATTATCAATTTCTGGAATATTGATTTAGTTTTTATATTTTTTTTTCTGGGTTGTCAAAATCCAAGACGCACGCGGACGCTAAACTTAGAATAAACTTGGAATGGAATGGACTTTAAAGATTGACAAAGCTCGTTTGAACGTCCCTCTCGAGAATTTTTCACTCATATGGAGACGCCACCACTTGCCGGTGGAGAGCTGCAAATTCTGACCTATACTCGGCACTTAGGGCCATTGAGTAGTGAGGGATCTTTTTCGTGCCAGCACCTACTGCGACACGGAACCTCAGTTTATACGGTCTCATCCGAAGGACCGGTCTCCACGTCCAACAGTGGGATTCGAACCCGCGACGGAAGGATCAACTTCTTTCTCCGCGACTCTAGAGCAAATGCTCTATATAACCACTGCGCCACGCGGACGACTGACAGAGCTCGTCAGTAGAGAGTACAGAAAGCGCTATGCCATATGAAAAGAGGTAACTATATAGAAAGTTCTTTTTTGAGAAACGATTAAATTACGTATATCATTGACTTGAATAATTTTTTTATTGCCTCATTAATATATAAGACTCAGTGGATGGCGCCAAGGTTGGGGAGCCCTGGATTCACCAAACGTACAAATTACATAAGATATTAGCCATAAGTAATGATGACAGTTCAGTCCATTGTACATATAGATAGTATAATTTGAAACCATTTGATGTACATTATAGTTAGTCTATATGTACATGTAACACGTGACACTATAATATGTAAACTACCACTACTATTATAAACACTGTATATTCAACAGGGACAATTTTTCATTGAGGAAAAAAAAAGGTAAACAAATCCTTTCACACCTCATTCATCCAATATGTGTATGTATTTATCAGAAAAGTTATCATCAAAATGAGGAGTAACATAATGATTTTAAACATGTACAATTTTAACCAACATTAGAAAACAGTGAAGAAAAAAGACCCCTCTCTTTTCAAGTATAGCCAGATCATTATTCTTTTTAAACATAAATCTTTCAATTTTATAATAATAATTTATTTCTTTTTTTAACTCCATCTTTGGTTGGTAGTGTCTTACAAATTCTTTTCTTATGAATATGTCTTTTTACCAAACATATTAAAAGATTCCAAATAATATAATATTTACCTTCTCTACCAAATATAACATAAATTATGTTTATTTCAATGTCGTGCTTAGTTTTATCAATTATCCATTCTACTAGTTTACTCCATAATATCTCAACAGATAAACATTACCAAAACAAATGGGTAATAGACTCAGGATACATACCACAAAAAGTACACAGATCAGAATTTACAATTCCTATTTTTATGCCCCCGTATCGAAGATTCGGGGGTATATAGTTTTTACCCTGTCCGTCCGTCTGTCTGTTTGTTTGTCTGTTTGTTTGTCCGCAAAAACTTTAACATTGCTCATAACTTTTGATTGGTTAAAGCTATGGCTTTCATATTTCACATGTGTATTTCTTGTGACAAGACCTTTCTTTGGGTACCATCATATTTGACCTTTTGACCTTGGAGTTTGACCCAGTTTTACAAAATTTTTCCCAACTTTAACCTTGGCCATAACTTTTGAACGGTTGGTGCTAGGGCTTAATACTTCACATGTGTAATCCTTGTGACAAGACCTTCCTTTGGATTCCAACAACTTTGACCCTTTGACCTTGACCTTGGAGTTTGACCTACTTTTGAAAAACTTTAACATCGGCCATATCTTTTGAACGGTTGGCGCTAGGGTTCTCATATTTCACATGTGTAATTCTTGTGACAAGACCTTCCTCTGGATACCAACAACTTTGACCCATTGACCTTGACCTTGGAGTTTGACCTACTTTTGGAAAATTTTAACCTTGGCCATATCTTTTAAATGGTTGGTGCTAGGGCTTTCACATTTCACATGTGTATTTCTTGTGAGAAGGCCTTTCCTTGGGCACCATTAATTTTGACCTTGACCTTGATGTTTGACTTACTTTTGAAAAATTTTAACCTTTTCCATATCTTTCCAATGGTTGCTGCTAGGGCTTTCATATTTTACAAGTATATTCCTCGGTACAAGACCTTACTTTGGGTACCAACATACTTGATTTGCGTTTGAGAAAGTTTAACCTTCGCTATAAGTTGCCATACGGGAGCATCAGTGTTTCACAAACACGTCTTGTCTTTAAATATACATTGGTACTCAAAATTCTATGTACAATTCGATATTGAAATCATCTAAGTCAAAATCCGAAGTAGAAAAATTAAAGAATAGATTAAATTTAGTTGAACCTTGGTGCATTTGCAATCCAGATGTAAAAATAAAAAATCTCCGATTAAGCAGGCTAGGCTTGATTTTTTTCCTAATATCAGAAGAGCTTATGTCAACACTCGATACTGTAGCTATTCTCCCATGACATAGATAGAGGATATTCAATGTTTTGTAGATGAATATGGAATTTATTTCACGAGTGGGACAGGAATCTTTGATATTTTCACGAGTGTGAAGCACGAGTGAAAATATTTAAAAAAAATCCTGTCTCACGAGTGAAGTAAATTCCATATTCATCTACAAAACATTGAATTTTCTGTTTATTACATTTTCTTAGACTTTTCCTTTGCCTCTGTCTTTTTCGTAACACAGTGTCATAGGCTGTGACGTCATAGTTGAGCGGTTGAGACGTCATAGCTATAAGCGATTGCGAGATTGAAAAAAGTTGTAACATGGATTTTTAACAACCTATTTGGAAAAAACTTTGTATAACTATTAGTCTCTGTCAGGATGGTTCATTAACTCTATCTTATAACAGGCTAAGAGTTTTTTTTTTTTTTTTTTTTTTTTTTAAATATTCTTCGTGAAGAGAAGGAAAATCGTAAGTTTTGCCGCACTTCTGATATTCTCACACTGTGAGAAAATACCATTTTTATACCCTTTCACACTGTGTCAGAATATCACTTTTATTCAGTAAATAAATTACAGAATTTCACTGTTGAAAATGTAATAAAACTGATCATTCAATTATTGAACGTCAAGATTTGATAATTTTTCAAAAGGAAGAGGCTTTTGGCACTTTAATAATTCTCTGTTGAAAGATCTTGACTTTGTTAAGAAGGCCAAACAAATTATATCTGATACTGAGGTAGAATACTTGGCAGGTGAAGGCAGGCCACCAACAATTGATGATGATTTATTATTTGAAATTATTTTAATGAAAATTAAAGAGTTTGCAATTTATTTCGCCAGTAAAAAAAATCCCGCGAGAGAGAGAGAAAAAAAGAAAGAACTTCTTCAAAAAAAATTAAATTTATGCACGAGATGTTTAACACGCACCATCTACAAATTTATGGAAAATTACTGAATGATTTTTCAGGTTGAACTTGAGAATATCAGAAAATTTGAGGCTGAAGGACTTTTGATACGAACACATGGTAAATGGATCGAAGACGGTGAAAGACCTACAAAATATTTTTGTGCTTTGGAAAAAAGAAATTATGTAAATAAAAATATAACAAAAATTATTGACAGTAGAGGTATTGTTAATCAGCAAGAAATTTTAGATAACCTTAAATACTTCCATCAATCTTTATATAGAAATCAAGCTGATTCACTAGTCGATGTTAATTTAAACAATGTGCTAGTATATTGCAAAGTTCCCAAACTTAGCAAATATACAAAATCTCTTTTAGATAATGACATCTCCCAGTCTGAAATTTTCAACTCTATAAAAAATATGAAAAGTAACAAAACTCCAGGAACAGATGGATTTACTACACAGTTTTTAAAAAATTTTTTTGGTCTGATTTATGCAAATTTTTGATAAATTCATTTACATGTAGTCACAATAAAGGATGTTTATCAATGACTCAAACTCATACAAGGGTCGTTCAATAAATAATACAACAAACAGTATATCATAGTAAATGTAGATCTATTTAATATTATTATTTAACAGTTGAAACGGTTAATTAAAGAGCTCATAATCACAGAAAACCCCATGATTTTCCCTATTGTCCTGGCAAAGAAATTCACTTTTAAAGTATGCATGGTAACTACACTGAGCTGAAAACTGTTTAAAATGATCTCTGCCAAGATGAAAATGAGAGCGTATATGAAAAGTGTGCTTTACACAAATCGCCGAAGAACTCATATTAAAGATATGATTTTTATATGTGGAAAGAATAGTCTTTAACGCTGTACAGTTTTCAGATTGATTCAGAAATTCAAAAGTAAAAAAGGAGAGTTAAAATATATAAGTGTAACTGGTCGATTGCAGTTTGTAGGGGCACGAAAAATTATCGATGCTATGTACAACATGATATCTGAAAATGTCAGATTTACATTTAAATGCGTTGCTAGAACACTCAGCATTTCATCGTCATAACATTTTATAGAATTCTAACAACGAAAATGAATATTATATTTCTATCAGATAGGTGCCGTAAATTGCCTAAGTGAAAAATACGCATTAAATGTGCCAACGGTCTATTTTAAAAACAAATATTTAAACAAAATACAAGATTTTTTAAATTTGCATGATGAATGACGGAGCATGGATGCACTTTTTTATGGCCAAAAAGGAAGATCAATAAAATTTGGAATCAAAGAAAAAGCTAGGTCCAGTAAAACATGTTCATACACCCAAAGGAAGGACCATCAATGGTAACGTTTATGTTCAAATTGCACTGAGGAAAGGTAAAAAGATTTCCTGCAAAGGAAGTCCAAATACCGCCCCAGTGTAATTTTCTTGCAGCTGGCAACGCTGCTGCAAATAAGCACAGAGAAATAAATGAAATTCTGAAGAAAAGAAAGTTTACAGAACTTTGCTATCCCCCATTTTCGCTAGATCTCAGTCATTTTGAGATCTTTTTATTCCAAAAATGCATGAAAACAATCATAGGAAGATTGTATAATATTAGATTTGTCATGGAAAGTGATATTCATCAGTGTCTTTAGGGTATCCCTAAAGATGGGTATTCTGAGGTTCTCTGGTCATGGGTACAAAGACTTAAGACATGTGTAAAGGATAACAGGGAATGCTTTGAGGGATTGAAAATGTTTAGAATATGTATTACGTAATTTTCTTACATTTAGATGACCTATTGCATTATTTATTGAATGACCTTCGTAATTTCTGTAATTCCAAAGGGAAATAAACCCAGAGAATACTTGAAGAAATGGAGATCTATTTCTCTTCTCAATGTGATTTATAAGCTGCTGTCTAGTGTTTTAGCTGATCGAATTAAAAGTGACTTGAATAATTTTATTAAAATATCCAACTTTAAAAGTTAATGCATTAGATTATTAACACGATTGTAGATTTTATGGCATATTTTTGATTCTCATCAAAACGTATACATACCTCCTGAAGAAGAAAGCTGGCCTCTCGTTCTACTCCTCGCTTTGTAACAGAATCAAAATTATATAAATATAATTTTCATTTTTATTTAAATCATTTCACTTGGATGTTTAATCTAATCAGATCTGATAAATAATTTCCATTGTAAAAATGTAATTGATATTTTCTCGTTGATTTATAAGTTAATGAATACTTTTTATATCTGTTAACAAATGGTCTTGATTTATGAAAATAAATATTAAAAATACCCAATTGAATTGCATATCGTGTAACTTGGGTCATTCCGTAAGCTGCCACTAGCGCCAGGAATAGCGGAGCAGACACAGTCATTCCAGCATAAGACGCTATTGGTAAAAGAACCTGGGCCTGTCGTTTGTTTCTTGGCTGTTCTCTCTCTGTTTGTGCATTGGCCAAAACGGGACCAGGAGCTGCCAACAGCATAATATACAAGATACACAGAAACGCATTCCTTTCCATTGTGGGTTCTTCTCAAATAAAATGAAGAAGCTAAAACAAAACAAAACAAAAAACAACAACAACAACAACAAAAAAACCACACACACAAAAACCCCAAACTTTAATACGCAATATCTCTTTAGTCTTCAAAAGACTTAAATCTGTTTGATTCGTTCTTTATCGACTACGAGCCGTAGTTTTGAAAATAATATTCATTCAGAATTTAAAAAAAATATTGTGACGTAATCTTTTGTTTTAATCGTTCTTGGACTAGCACGAATTTTGTTTCAAATTTTATTGGTAATCCAAAAAGTTTTATATTGTCCAATTAGTGAAGAAAAACTGACTATTTTTCTGATAGAATGGACATTTTTTTCCATACAAAATGAACAGTGACGAACATTGCTATGTAAGCTTGTACAATGTTAAGACAGTTAAAGGCCACGTAGAAAACAATTTTAGTAAATTAACAAATTGCAGACTACTGACAATTCTCTGTCGTCACAATAAACCAAAATAATTTACAACTTAAGTTAAAGTACATTTATTAAGATTTTTAATTATTTGACGCAAAGACCCACCAGTAAAATTGACATTTTTGTGCTTGATTGCCTATAAAAATTTCCACAGGACAAAAATACGACCTAGGAATGTTTTTTAACATATATTTTCAACTATAATAAGTCCATATATTAACATTTCCCCCCTAATTCTCTTTTCTTTAAACTGCAGAATTTAGATTGCTGCTTCATTAAGAGTGTTAGGTACTTATAATTTTTAGACATGTCTGGATGTTAGAATATGCTGTTGTTTTCCATCTCGTTCCTTAAGAGTTCATCAGGTTGTTGATGCTTCTATCCTTAAATTCCTCTTATGAAACTTTTCATTATCCAAACTTTCTCGGATAAAATTATCACAGATTATATAAATCAATTATCATTCCTTTGGCCAGACAAATGTTGGTTTTCAACTCATTTCGCTTTCAGGAATAATATGTCTTTGAAAATTTAATCTGAATTACATCCATATTTAAAAAAAAATGTTCAGCATCTTTGCGTTTTGGGAGAGAAAAAATGAAAAATTTTAGCTCTGTCCATTCTGTATCAATGTCTAAAATTTTGGAAAAAGGCATTTATCAAATTTTGCCTTTTATTGTATCGTATCATAAAGAGGCTTTCAGTTAGATTTCGAAAAACTAGCTTTATTGAGTAGTTATATGCTAATACTCGTCAATGTAACCTAACTTAACCTAATTTCCATGCACAACTAAAAATAATAATCTTACTTTTCGAACATTTGTATTTTAAGTAGTAAAATAGAAATATGTGTTCTACGTAGAAAAAGATTATTTAGCATACTTTGTAATTAGAATTATTCTACCCAAAAGTAACGTAAAAATAGAAATCCCAATTTACGTAAGATTTTTTTTTTCTCAAAAAAAAAAAAAAAAAAGCGCTATAAAGATTTTTTTTTTTCAAAATGATCATGAACGCATTCTCAGATTTATATACGTAAGATTTTTTTTTCTCACCCCCCCCCCCAAAAAAAAACCAAACAAACAAAATACAATTAAAAAAAACGCTTTAAAGATTTTTTTTTTTCAAAATGATCATGAACGCAATCTCTGATAATGAATGATTACGAGGGTTGTCCGGTAAAATCGTGGACAAGTAGTCTAGAGCGAAAAATAATCAACACTGCTTTGAAGTGCTTTCTAAGATTTTTCCTACTTTTTAATACATTTTTCATCAATAAACAGCAAATTTCAAAGAGTTGTATGCTCAAATAAAACAAAATATGGGATTTTATGTTATTTGTGGTATTTCCTTAAGGCGGACGGATGATAACGTCTTTTTTCGACGGACTGCAATGATAGCGTCCTTCATTATTACAAATTGCTGATTGTTCGTATGTTTTGATTTACTGAGGGACTCGATCAAAAAGCTTCCGCTTAAAAGTGCCCCTTCCACTTTTATTCCTATAATTTATTAAAAATTGTAAGATGTACTTAAATATGATAAATAAACACTTGCTGAAAATTTCAGCTCAGTGCGTGCATTATTTTTCGATAAAAACGCAATGTCCACGATTTTACCGGACAAGCCTCGTAAAAGAGATGTTGCTGAAGATAATTATTTAGAAATAACTGGGCCAGTCTGGGACACATGGTACAGCAATAATTTGTTTTTTAAATTAAAAAAAGATTTTTGAAATTCTGTTAAAATGTTTTTAACTGAAGATGCAGTGAAGATGAAGCAAATTATCAACCATTTTGGTGAGTATATATAAATTAAAGGAGGGGAAGAATAATTATATTTTGGAAAATGAAACTTTAGGTGATATAAATATAAAATTGACTTTAGTTCAATTTTTGAGAAAGTCAACTATACATTTTTTGTCATAACTTTTTAAAATAGACAATCAACCACCCTGCCCTACGCTTAATGTAAACTTTGTAACCTTTTAAATTTGAATGATGTATTTTTTTTATAATAAATACTAAAATAAATACTTACAAATTTTGGCTTTATAATACGTTGAATTGGTGGCAAACCTCACCAAGTCCAAAGTGTTCTGATAAAATTATGTTTAATACCTGGCTTGAATAGTCTGCCTCGGTATATTTTGGAGTATGGTGCTATTTTGTTAGCTTCACAAAATCAGAAATAAAATGTCAAAATGACGATTAAAACAAGTCAGACAAGTTCATAACAAGCAATTTTGACATAATTGTGTCAAAGGTATAAAAAGTTATCACTTATTACATATTATGGAACCAGTGTTTGAAATAACCGTGCGCCCGACCGTCCGAGGCGCACACATTTTGCGGCGGACGAACAGATTTGCACGTATCAACGCCCGACTGGACGTATTAATATACTCTTTTTCGAAAACTAGAGAAACTATCTTTTGCGTGCCAAGTGGGTTGTAGCCCCTGACATGGGGCATTATTTAATGTGCCATCTTACGGACTTGAAATTTAAAAATATGAAAACAGTCAAACTTATAATAACAAAGAAATTGCTAATTAAAATATATTTACATGTAAGTCTTACTGTAAAAATCAGTTTTCTTCAAGTATTGTACAATTGTACAAGGACTCATATTTGTAAAAAGGTCATGCATTGTTTGCACATTATTAAAAAGTCGGCTTCGTACAGGCGAAAAATCAGTCCATTCTAAAACTATATTGTGTATGGTTATTGCACAGTTATAGGCGAAAAATCAGTCCATTCTAAAACTATAATGTGTATAGTTATTACACAGTTATAAGATATACAATCAGGGTGATGTTCCCTGTTTAGAATGTATGAATGGGTAAAACTTGAATGTCCAATAAGCATTCTTGATATAATGACTTCGTCCCCACCTTTCATGCCGAAATCAGATGATTGATTAACTATGTTTTGTATTGCGTAATGTTTATTATTATCACCAATATTTCCGTGATCTAGTAATTTACGTACGTTTTTACTTAATATTTTATCAGTATTAGGAATTTTAAAGCGTACAGTTTCATACTCAAGTGCATTATTTGCAGCACTATCAGCCTTAGTGTTTCCAGGTATACCAGTATGACCTGGAATCCACAAAATTCAACAATTCTACTTTGTTTAGTTAAGCGATAGTATTTGGTTAAAATATCTAGAATATATGGGTGAGCAATGTTCATACTGTTTATGGATTGTAAGCAGGAGAGCGAATCTGAAAAAAAAAATGTAAAGGAATTGTTACTAACAAATTGAATATAATTAAATGCAAGTTGTATTGCTTTTGCTTCAGCTGTAAATATTGTTGCTTCATTATTTTAAAAAAGTCGTGTAGAGAAAACATTAATTTTAACCACTGCAGCGGCATCTACTTTATTTTTGTCTTTTGAACCATCTGCATAAATAACTCTCCTATATGTATAACAACTGTTTAGTTGCGCCATAGTTTATCAAATATGGTGCATTTATTATCTATCAGGCCCGTAGCAACGGTTTAAAGTTGACAAGCTAAACAAAATCATATATATTCTGAACAAATATTAAACATTTAGATAACGATCAATAATGAAGCTCAAAAGTCTATTGAAACAATACAAATCAGGAGCAGAACAAACACGAACCTCAAAAACATCAGAGGTAAGACCAGATGCCATGGAGGAGTAAGCATCCCCTGGACACCGGTCACATCCACCATGTGGGAAATTCAGTGTTTATAAATAATGGCTTAACAATTAGTATGAAAAACATCAGTCAACATTCAACATAGTGATAAATTGCATTTGCTGACAAGGTCATTGTATCGACCATGGAACTTGCTAAATGATGACTTTAAAAGAGACTGTTGATATCCTTGTTTCATCAACTCGTTTGTCAATAGCTTGCCTCGTTTTAGAAATTGTTCGTAAGTAGAGCATGCTCTTGCGTATCGAATCAATTGGGAGATATAAACCCCATATGCAGGTAATAAGGGTATATTGCTACATAAGTATCTTGTAGCTCCTTCATAGCTCTGCAAAATCGATTTTAAATCAACAAAAAGAAATAATTTTAAAGGGTTCAATGAAGCCCATATTTATTTAACAAAACGGTGTCCAAATATGGTAACCTTGGTTTTCCATTAATTATAATCTGACAAATTCATTATCTTAAATCTATTTAAACTGCAATATTACTGACATCGGTGAACTACTTCAGCGCACTCTGCAGCATTTCCATCTTCCACACACGATCGAGACTCCCAAATGTTCGTACTCGTATGATCGACATTGTGGTCTACATCAAGCATCATGGAACCAGCCGCCACAATTATGACTACGACGATCTGGATAAAAAAGGTTTACATAGAACAGAAAGCGTGTCGATTGTATTTATCAAACAGGAAAATACAATTTTTATTTTTGCATAGATGCAAACTGTGTAAATATGGCATGTTTTTTTTCACTTGATCCGAAATATTTCTAGCATAAAGGTTAAAAATGTCATTTTTTTCTGGAAAAAAAATTTAGTAATTAATTGTCCCTTTTAGAAATAAGTGATGTTTGAAATCGTAATTTTTTTTTTTTACCAATTCATCTCAACCTTCTCGAGATGGCTGAGGACATTGCAAGATTTTTTTTTTTGAAAAAAATTCTAAAGATAGGTAACGTTAATGTACTTTGAAGAAAGCTTCCTATTTACTTATCACTCTGCTTCTTCATAAATACACATGTAATTAAAAAATGTTTTCCTCTTCACATAATCAAACATACTTATCACTCTACATGCACGTACATGAGCGTCCAAATTTGATAGTTTAAATTTTAATAATTAATAAATACAACTGTAATCAAAGAACAAACTAAAACATTTTTCTTGTTCAAATGTACTTATAACCCTACAAACACGTACACGTAACATGCGAGTCATAAACCATAAACAAAATTTAGCATATGATTGGGTTCTTTGTTATGATATTGCACTGTGGACTGACTAATGTAATCCTTATCAGATATTTACATCTCTCTCTCTCACACACAATTCTAACGATTTGATTTCATTATTCCATTGTTCTCGTAGAAAGATGTATGTATTTGCAAAATTAAGGTGGTAAATGCTAAGCATTTACCAAGTTTGACAGTTTCCTGATGAATATAAAATGAAATTGACAGAATTCAAACGTTTGCACTAAAATAATCAATTTCTGGAATATTGATTTAGTTTTTATATTTTCTTCTGGGTTGTCAAAATCCAAGACGCACGCGGACGCTAAACTTAGAATAAACTTGGAATGGAATGCACTTTAAAGATTGACAAAGCTCGTTTGTTTGTTTGTTGTTTAACGTCCCTCTCGAGAATTTTTCACTCATATGGAGACGCCACCACTTGCCGGTGGAGAGCTGCAAATTTTGACCTATACTCGGCACTTAGGCCCATTGGGCAGTGAGGGATCTTTTTCGTGCCAGCACCTACTGCGACACGGGACCTCAGTTTATACGGTCTCATCCGAAGGACTGGTCTCCACGTCCAACAGTGGGATTCGAACCCGCGACGTAAGGATCAACTCCTTACTCCGCGACTCTAGAGCAAATGCTCTATATAACCACTGCGCCACGCGGACGACTGACAAAGCTCGTCAGTAGAGAGTACAGAAAGCGCTATGCCATATGAAAAGAGGTAACTAGAAAGTACTTCTTTGAGGAACGATTAAATTACGTATTTCATTGACTTGAATAATTTTTTTTATTGCCCCAGCAATATATAAGATTCAATGGATGGCGCCAAGGTTGGGGAGCCCTGGATTCACCAAACGTACAAGTTTCATAAGATATTAGCCGTTAGTAATGATGACAGTTCAGTCCATTGTACATATAGATAGTATAATTTGAAACCACTTGATGCACATTATAGTTATTCTATATGTACATGTAACACGTGACACTATAATATGTAAACTACTACTACTATTATAAACACTGTGTATTCAACAGGGACAATTTTTCATTGAGGAAAAAAAAAGAAAAAGTAGGTAAACAAATCCTTTCACACCTCATTCATCCAATATGTGTATGTATTTATCAGAAAAGTTATCAAAATGATGAGTAACGTAAAGATTTTAAACAAGTACAATTTTAACCAACATTAGAAAACAGTGAAGAAAAAAGACCCAGTCTCTTTTCAAGTATAGCCAGATCATTATTCTTTTTTTTCTTTTTATACATAAATCTTTCAATTCTATAATAATAATTTATTTCTTTTTTAACTCCTACTATGGTTGGTAGTGACTTTTCTTATAAATATGTTCTTTTTACCAAACATATTAAAAGATTCCAAATAATATACTATAGTAATATTTACCTTCTCTACCAAATATAACATAAATTATGTTTATTTCAATGTTGTGCTTAGTTTTATCAATTATCCATTCTACTAGTTTACTCCATAATATCTCAACAGATAAACATTCCCAAAACAAATGGGTAATAGACTCAGGATACATACCACAAAAAGTACACATATCAGAATTTACAATTCCTATTTTCTTTAAATATACATTGGTACTCAAAATTCTATGTACAATTCGATATTGAAACCATCTAAGTTAAAATCCGAAGTAGAAAAATTAAAGTTAGTTGACCCTTGGCGTATTTGCAATCCAGATGTAAAAATAAAAAATATCCGATTAAGCAGGCTAGGCTTGATTTTTTCCTAATATCAGAAGAGCTTATGTCAACACTCGATACTGTAGCTATTCTCCCAGGATATGGAACAGATCATTGAATAATTTAACGTCAATATTTGATAATTTTTCAAAAGGAAGAGGCTTTTGGCACTTTAATAATTCTCTGTTGAAAGATCTTTACTTTGTAAAGAAGTTCATTTCATGTAGTTACAATAAAGGATATTTATCAATGACTCAAACTCGGGGCATAATTTCTGTAATTCCAAAGGGAAATAAACCCAGAGAATACTTGAAGAATTGGAGACCTGTCTCTCTTCTCAATGTGATTTATAAGCTGTTGTCTAGTGTTTTAGCTGATCGAATTAAAAGTGACTTGAATAATTTTATTAAAATATCCAACTTTAAAAGTTAATGCATTAGATTATTAACACAATTATAGATTTTATGGCATATTTTTGAATCTCATCAAAACGTATACATACCTCCTGAAGA